AAACCGCTCGAGATATCGCACATCCCACCGGTACATCGTCCACGTTTCGCTGCCGTATAGAAGAACGGGCAGCACCATGGATTTTACAGCATCAGCTTCTTGCCGACGGTAAGCTGGAAGTTGTTCCACACTCGGTACTCAAGCTTCCCGAATGCCGCAGCTGCCTTCGAGACGCGGATACGAAGCTTACTGTGTAGCTACTGGTCAGTCGACACCACACTCTCAAGGTAGCAGAAGCAGGAGTTGGCTTCCAATGCGTTATCACCAATGCTGATTTACGGCAATATTGTAGGTTGCACCTCCGGTGAAATTTTAAAGTGACAGACAGTTTTTCTTGAGTGGATGGTGAGCCCGAATTTGTCCGCTGTCGAAGCCAGAGCACTAGTCATGTGCTGCAACTCATACGCGCTGTGTGCAAACAACGCACAGTCGTCAGCAAACAGCAACATACGGATAGTTGTCTCACAGACTAGGGTTCTCGCACCGAAACGACGGATGTTCAACGACCCACCATTTTATTGATGCCTTTTCAGAAGCGAGCTGTTGGCAACAGTACTTTTCGGCTTCGTCGACGTAGGGTAGCACGAGCGTCACTGTCTGCTTGTTATCATGCTATCGTACTGGCAGCTTAGCAATTTGGTAGCTTCGCTTCTAGCCAGCTATATGTTATGGTCATGTATGCATTATCTGAGACGATCAGAAACGCATAGTTTGTGCCGTATTTGCTTAAGTTTCATTCTCATGTTTACTACATGATTTACGCTGGAGTTCATCCTACGTCGGGTCACCGTTAGTTGTGAAGAACCTAGAACGGAAAACTTCTTTCGCAACGGCCAATCCGCGAATATATCCATCCACCTTACTCCTTCAGCAATACTCATTCTCTCTAGCTGTGTCTTTTATCGCCATGTTACTCGGTAGCTAGCTGCCACCGACTACGATTGGCGCCAGCAAAGTGCCTTACTACGCTCTGGCATTGGCCCCTCAACACGTGCACTCAGATCCGTCAACAAGCAGCACCAGCTCTTATTCCTCGTTTCATTGGGATATATTTGTGCGGTTTCTCCGAGAAAAAACGCATCGGGAGTAACCTGGTACATCCTACCAACGCTTCGCTGCCGCGTAACCACCACTAATCGTGCATTACGTGGGGATCTCCCTGCCCCTATGCAGGTTCGAACCCTCGCTCTCAGATTACAAGGCAGGCTCGTGATCCTTAAGACTACGCATTGCAACGAACCCTAAATCCTTTGGCCCGATTTCTAGTGACGATTATATATCTTCCTTCGTCTTTGTCCGCTGCATATATGCGTTTATAGTTCCGAAAGTCCCCACGTTGTAAGGGCTGTCAGTTACAAAATATCGCGTTCAATGACCACATGCTTGTGATTCCGTCATAGCCGACAAACATCCTAAGAAGAGTGGGGTGTTTTTATTGTTCTGTTGTACACCCCTCCATCGAGTGCATTCCGGATGCCATGCTAGACAGTTTTTGTCGAATACTCTCATCCGTATCGCTGAAAGTTCGGATATCACTAGTTGTAATCGATATCTCCAATTGTGTGTTAATTACAAACATCTTTCCAGCTTCTCGGCTCCAACGTTCTAATTGCGTCGCCCGAATTTACTGATACGAACATTTTCTTATACCCAGCTTGATCCCATTGATATGGGGTACACATACGTACGTTATCGCAAAACTGTCGACCTGTTTGGAGCACCTGTATACATACCAACCACACACACGTGCACGGTAGAAAGTGCCCGATCTGCACGCCTGAACCAACAAGCGGACAGCTAACACCGAGCTTGATTCGATAACCCCAATACGCTATCAAGACATTGATATAAGCATATTGTCTACTCAGCTTGAAGAGCAATAAGAAGTTTGCCATCGAAGAGATCACTAGGTGAATCAAGTGACCTTTATCTTTCCTTGACTCCGATGTACTCGCGCGAAGTGCGAAAGTCGGTTTATGAAGCGAAAACCAATAATCTTATGTTTCTATTAGTTGGTTCTAAGGGACTACTCATCATGTTTCACCAATATCTGCCAGAATTTCCCAGAATCCAGTGAAGGTATCGGTTGGCCATTGCTAGGCTGGTCTCTGGTAACAAACTCCTCGATTGGATGCGCACTCTGTGTTGTATGAATGGCCCCTTTCACTTATGTGCCGAGCATGCGCCTTGGTGTTTCTCGCTTTTTCCGCACCTGTCTGAGAGAAGCCTCAGTGGGAGCAGCGGATGACAGCGGGAGAGTTGAAAAATTTATGGAGTTGGTGCTTGTTACGCCCGAATTCGGAGACTGCCACATATGTTGTTCGGTATCCACTTGGCGTCCTTTAACTAGCCGACGATGGATCAATAAATCACTGCCATAAGTTGGCGTGGTTCCATCCTGTATTGCCGCTCGTTCTGGAGTACTTGACTCTGATCAAGCCTTGGTACGCAGTCGCTTTTCCATAAACTTTACCGGGATGCGTACCAAACATCCCCCGACTGGCAACTGAGAAGTTATCTCAGCCGAACTATCGCTCTCTTGTCCTGATGACAGTAAGCTTCAGTGTAAAAGGATCTCAGACGCCATGTGCGACGCAGGAGCATCTGCTTGTGGCACCGCACAGTCACTGGATATCCGAGAGGTCGATGAACCTGTTGGAATCCAGTGGTAACCTCCCGCCTTACTCTGAGCACAATGTGACCAGACGGGCTATTAGGCGCGAAATAACAACGTAGCCTGCTAGACGAGTCTGGCTCGAGAAATGGAGGAGGCGAGAGCGGTAGACAATTATCGCAAGCTCTTCCAGACTATCCGCACCAATAATCACAGGAAACCAACCTTCAGTGAGATAATCGAAGACTGCGCAGGTACCACGATTCAAGATAAGGAGTACCGTATGGCTCGTTGGGCGGAGCACTTTTGACAACAGTTGGCCCCCTGATTCCGGACCTCTTCCTACTCAGGTAGTGCACGATGAGCCGTGAGGTCCGAAACACGATCACAGTCCTCAATTGTTTTCGTGCCGCTAGCCCGGATACCTTACCACTGGGACTACTTAAGCATAGAGTTGAGGTCCTCGACAAAGCACTGACCCTATCCGAACGTATCTGGAAGGAAGTGTCCCGGCTAACTGGAGTGAGTCGGTTTTAGTGGCAATATACAAGAAGGGCAGTCGCACCGACTGTGCTAACCCCATGGGTATTAGCCTAACGCCAGTTGTGACAAAAGTACTGGCTTCGATTCTCGTTCGTCACCTCACTGCAGAACTGGAATCCCGGATTAGGGAAGAGCAAGCAGGTTTCCGTCCATGACGTGGCTGCATAAATCATATATTCACTATGCAGCAAGTGCCACGCGTACCGCAGACCGATAAAAGCTGTCTCACGATTTAAACATTGCGTTCGACTCAGTCGATCGTTGCATTCTGATCGAAATACTTGCGCGGAAAGTTGTTCCCACGAAATATGTGAACATTTTGCGTGTTCTATTCCCGAACACTACAGGCCGCGTCAGGGTTACGGTGGCTTATCGAATATCTTTCCGACAACAAGTGGCGTTCGTGCGGGTTATCCAATTACCCCATTTTTGTTCAATTTCACCGTGGACTCCATCATGGAGTCTTAGGATGCATGCGCTGAGGTGCCAACTGTTGAAGGGCTAGTTGATCTTGACTATGCGCACGATATTGCCTTGCTGTTTAACGATGCTAGGGCGGTGCAATCAGCCCTGAACAGCCTCACTTGACTAGTCTCATTATCTGGTATGCGCTTCGCAAACTGTTGTAGATGGACTAATACCGTACCGCTCACATGAACGATCGAAATCTTGTAAGCACACAATGATCTTCCGATAAGCACAGCGGCCTCTTCAGCGACTTAACCGCCTAAAGTGATCAGACAGTTGACTGGTTGACTACGTTCAGCGGCTGTTCCGAAGTTGTGAGATAGTTGCATGTCAACTTAGCGCTGCACCCTGAAAATGCGCATTTGTAGATCCAGAGCCCTTTGCGTAGCAGCTGGATCTCATCAGAGGGAAGCTTTGTAGTCAGTTTATTCGTCTTGTAAATCGGTTACCTGGTATTGCTCTCCCCTAAAAAAGTTGCCAGGACGACATAACTGGCTACCACTTCGATCTGGAAGTTGATGGGAAGGGCAGCCATGTTGTAGTATATTTGGCGCGGAAAGACGTGAATCATCTTAGTAGATCCCCTTGCAGGAACGGGAGATGCGGTATTTTACAGCGTAAAACATTTCCCACGGACAGACGTGTCCAATGAAATCAGCGGAGGCAGCTGACTCAAGAAGGTCTATTACGGCAAGTGATACTGTTTCATCACTCGGCGTGGGGTACAACTATCGCCCGTCGTTCGCTCTTAAGATATTTTTGTGCAGACATTTTGGCGCCTTTAAGTGGTTTAACGACAGTCGCAGCCATTCTAAGGTTCCGGTAGCCTTTACACGACACTCCTTGGACCTTTGTAATGGCAGTGATAGCACAAAAACCGTCTTTCTGGTACTGCATAGAACTGTCCTTGGATATTGAGGGGGCGCGTTTATCTCTGATAGCTTTGGAGAAGTAATGTCGGTTCGCATGATTCATGAATCTTTGTAGAATTCACTTTTAACTTGACTCTCGTACTATCGACCGGTGTAATTTCGTCCGCCCATATGTCTGCGCGCTGTGGTGTGTGCCGTCCTCCCTGACGGCCACTATCGTCATTAGTGTGTTTTCAACGTTGCTTATTTCCTCACAGATTCGGCTCTTCGCGTCTACGTTTTTACTTGGGTATCAGCAGTCTCACATGATTGTTCTGCTTCTAAGTATGACACGGTCTCGTTTGGTTCGTCCTGGTGTGTTTGTATGTTGTGTCTGATAGATGCTTTTTATGTACTTTGATCCGATTCCCCGCTGCTAGTACAGGTTTCGACAGCCAGGCTGCCATATCTTGATGTACCGCGTTTTTATAGTTGGCAAAGCGGGGTCTTTTGTTCCTTCTTTAGTCACCTGGAGACTCACCGCCCAATGGAGAAACATCTTTTCGTGCCCACATGATGCGTCTGCGTGGCTGGTATCGGTGCTTTACGTCAACACCACGTCTCGCCGCTGGGGGGTTGAACTACGTCTTGCTGGATAGCAAGATTCACAAACGTTTGTCATACATGCAGCCTCAAAGATGGATCGGCTGTCTGCTTTTTATTCTTGGCCTACCTTCTTCCATTTTGCTCCTGCATACCGATCCACCACTTGCTGTGTGCCTGTCTGCCCCCGTTCTGATATTGTTGGTGACTTTCTCGTTTCACATGTTGGAAAATTCTTTGGTGTACGCTCGCGAAGAACCCGCCCACTCAAGATTATGGTGTGACTCGCCAGAGGACCATGGGTTTCAAGTGTGGGAATCCGTGAACATCTATCCCGATGGTAACGGAGGACCGAAGGTGACCGGGTTTCTTCTGTTCAATGAAGATGCGACTGCACGTACAATCTGCCCTACCATTTATCTCCTGCATGGAAATGCAGGCAACATTGGTCATCGGTTGCCCTTATGTCGCTTGTTAGCTGACCATGTGCATTGCAATTTGTTTTTGATTGATTATCGCGGATACGGCCGTAGCAGTGGGATTCCCAGTGAACCTGGTTTGTACGCTGATGCTCAGGCTGGCTTGGACTACCTACTCAGCCGTTTGGATATCGCCTCTGACCGGATTTTTGTATTCGGTCGTTCTATCGGTGGTGCTGTCGCTATTCACTTATCCACTTGCGAGAAGAACAGTTCGATTCGTGGCGTCATCATAGAGAACAGTTTTACCTCGCTTCCCTCCGTGGCACGTCATATATTCGGTGCTACTTGCGGTCTGTTAAGGGATTTTCTCCCCTCATGGATATTTGTTAACAAATACCCCTCATACGATCGGTTGAAGACCTATATAGCCAACTGTCAGGATCTGCATCCACGGTTTCTTTTCATTTCCGGAGATGTAGATGAAGTGATCCCTTCTGAGATGATGAAGAAGCTTTCCGTGGTCTATGCACATTCTGAAACATCGACTTCGACTTTTCAAAATGCGGTCACTCCTGCTGAGTTTCTCAGCAGCCGAAAAGATGGATTAGTAGTCTTTTCAGGAGGTAAACATAACACAACGTGGCTTTGTCCAAATTGGGCTGCTGTCATATCACATTTCATCCAACAAACCTGCGCTTATTACTCCAGTGCAAAGTCCAATGCGGCGATAGTTTAAACTGCTCGGTCTTCTATTTTTTACCTGCTTCTCACGTCTTCCAATTTGGCAAGTTATTTTGCTGTTTCAACGTTTTTGGTGGACTTGATTCACTTGTGTTCGAGTTTTTCAGTCGACGCGCTTGTGCAGATGTTCGTCTTATGTCTTTTAAATGAAACCACATGCTAAGCCTTGCACTCGTTCGTTGTTTGGCTATGTAATTCAGGGTCATTCTCTATCTTTGTCCCTTTGGGTCCTGAACCTTGTGCTAGGTTAACTGCTCAGAAGACTAATTGGAGGGTCAGTGTTGGACTACACGTTGCGTGATTGAATTGCGACGCGCAATCTCAATGTGGACCGCGATTCACATTAAAGTGAACCTTGGTCACTACATGCCCCACTGGCCAAAGGGGTAGATGTTTCGGCCACTATTCCAATGGTCGGGGGTTCGAGGCCTGTTATCTCCATCTGATAAGATGAAAAGACATCGGGACGCGTCGTGGTTGTGCAATGTTTTCAGGCGGACAACACTCACTTCCCATCTTTCTACCGTGATTTCCACCTTCGTTCAGATGTTAGCACAACACGGAAGTTCAGTTTACACCGATGATCTAAGCACCGAGTTGCAGTGCATGCAGTTGTCATAACTCGCAATAATGATACTTGTTGACGCCTGAGAATTCCGAAATAACGTGCAGATATAGGAACACTAATTTAATGGGAAGGAGGCTCGAAGTAAAGTACAATTGTTGAGCGCAAGACTTAGCGGCGATCGACAGTAGACCAAGTGATGGAACGCTGTTATCTTCTCGACGCATTATTGTCAAGGAATATCGATCCAGTTGTGCAACAGTTCACGAATTAGAATGCAGCACGCACTGACCCCGTCACTTAGTCGCCTTTTAACCACGCCATCTTGACATTGTGGCTTCACTCCAACAGCTGGTGTAACGACGGACGGATGGCTTTTCATTATTCAATCAATTTTTCCTGGACGCTATCAAAACCTTGTAGGGACAGTGGGTTGCGGTTAGCAGTCCTTTCATGTTTTCAGCCTACAATAATGATGGTTCTACTTCATATATTTCGATTTCCAGCGTTGCAAAGTTATTAAATCGGTTTTACATCTATAGATCAATTTTTCACTCACCCTTTGGCACCTTGGGATTTAGAAGCAAGGTAGCCGCTTTCTGTGCGCATGTTGACGCATACGATGATAAGGATTATAAAACCAACCGATAGCTTCGAGTTGTTCCTTCGCTTTGATTAGGTCTATCATTACAACGATGCAAAACAAGGTAAGGAACAGCATTCTGCAATGTCTTCACGGCAACTAATTCCAGCCATACATCCACTTCGATTCTATTGAATTTTATCAGTTCGTAATCTAGAAGAACATCAACTTCGAGGGAATCATGATCATTTCCACCACCAATGTGGTGAACAATGATAAATTTGGGTAGTCGTGACTAGTTCCCTCCACCTAGTATGTTTGAGGAGCTTACCGCGAACACTGAAACTTTTAATACGTAATTTTTAGAAAAATTCTCTGATAAGGCTTTTACAGTGAGGCCGTACGGTCGTGACGAACTGGTTTAAACACATCCTTTGGATAACAGGTGGTTGGTACTGCGGGCTCTTGAATAGAAGACATTGTGCAGCATGAAATATGGCCAACGCCTATTCTGTTGGATCAGTGACCTCTCTGATTCTAGTGTCACGAAGAACTGCCGGTGTATTGTGCGTGTTGAAGTCTATGGCCCGGCGGCTTTCTTTGGACTTGTACTTGTCATCACCAATTAGGCTATTAATAAGACTGGCCATTGACGTTTTACAATCTCTGGAACTGTAAACGTCTTTTGCTTCTCAACTGTAGTAATCAACACCTGGAAACCGCATACTTTGTTGAAACATCTCGTATCGGAATGACTGTCCCGAATGGTCGATTATAGTTAGCAGCACTCTTTCCTCATCAGTATTATCACTCCAACTTAGATTGCGTGAGTTGCTTTGCGGACTGGGCTCAGCTGATGACCAGGTAATCTCGAAGTTAGACACTTCACTGAAGCCGGATGTTGAACTGTGCCTGCGTACGTTAGATAAGGATAAAAATCGTACTAAGTGCCCCGGTTCGATCCACAATCTTACACTGTATGTAGATGATGGTTGCCTAGTGAATTTGGATCAATGAGTGAACTTAGTCCCGGAAGACTGCGGTTTTCAAAGTTCTGTTTGGTACCCATTTAAATAACGTGTCAGATGTGCTCCGTAACGGCGCTTCGCTGCCGCGTGACCACCACCAGTCTCGCGCGAGCTGGGTATACAGCAAGGACGCCCACCATTACGCGGATTCGAAATAGTGATATGGTTGCAAATCAGACGCGCAGACAACTCGGCCACCGGCCATTTGATTAAAGCAATCGCTTACTCCGAACCGGTGTTCGGGCTGCGAGTGATCATCTAGCTAACTAACGTTTTGATTCGTTCTCCGAGCTGAGTAATTTAACGTCAAACGTTTCATCACTTCTCTCAGTGGCATCTTCAGTGTACCGCTCCGTAGAGGAAAATCTCACGGAAAGTGTCGGTGGGACGTAGCATTTGAAATTAGCCTCGTTGATCTGTGTCCCGTGACCTCTGTTTGTTCGATACTTGGCCGTCCAGTTTCACGCTTTCTCAGCTGTAGGTACACGGGATCAAGGTCAATGCGGAGGTTCAGGGAATTCTCCGTAGAGAACCATGCCTCGAGGAATTCCCTTCCTTTTCTTGTCCCTCTGTGCGCCAGAATTTCTGTTTTGTCCCAGTTAACATCGAGGTGCGCTGAGATCTGTGACGATACATGATGATATCGACACGCACGCTTGTGCTCTTTTATTCTTGTGGATAGTTTTCTCCCCGTTTGACCTACATAGTCTTTGTCACAGTTCTCGCATTTTATCCTGTAGATGACATTTTGGTGTTCTTGTGCCTCCAGTCTTTCTTTAGGTCTAGATATACTTTTCAAAGTCGCAGTTGGTATGTGAGCTATCGTCAGGTTGTGCGGTTTAATGAGTCTGGCTGTCTTTTCCGATACGTTTTTGATGTATGGCAATGCGATGTGTTTCGTCGTCGTTGGTGCAGGTGTGGTAGTTATGCTCCTTCGCTTTAGGTGTCTTCGGATGAAACTGCGTGGGTAGCCGTTACGAATGAAAGCCATAAACAGATGTTCTTCTTCCTTACGTTTTGCCTCTGCAGTATTGCAATGCGATTCTATCCTACGAAACAGGGTCCGAATACAGCTTATTTTGTGATACTTAGGGTGATTGCTGTTAAAGTTTAGGATTTGGTCGGTGTGTGTTGCTTTTCTGTAAACTGATGTCTGTAATTCGCCTTCCACCGTTCTGGTGACCAGCACGTCCAAAAAGGGTAGTTGGTTTTCCACCTCTTCTTCCATGGTGAAACGAATGCCTTCCATTGCATTGTTAAGTAGGTCTTGTGCGGTCTGTAGCTGGTTGCGTTTGAGAACCACAAACGTATCGCATCCATAATTTCGGACTAAGGACTGGGAGTATATCCTCTTCCAACCTCTGCATGACGACTTCTACAATGAGTCCAGATATGGGGGATCCCATTGGGGCTCCTCTAACTTGCTCGTAGAGCACTCCGTTGAATTTGAAGTAAGTAGTAAGACACAAGTCGAGGAGCTTGCATATGCTTTCAGTTGTTAGCTTCCCAGTCGTTTGTCCTCCATTATTCAGACGTTCTTTGATATTTTCTTTCGCTATCTGTAAGTTGATGGAGGTGAGAAGTGCGGTGACGTCAAAGAATACCATCACTTCTTCATGGTCTATCCGTATGCATTTGAGCTTTTCCAAACACTGATGAGCATTATTGATGGAGTAGTGCGATCCGCTGGTCAGATGTTTGAGGCCCTTCCATAATTCTTTAGCCAAGTTGTAAGTTGGTGTACCTGGGAGTGATACTGTTGGTCGTAGCGGCGCACCCTCTTTGTGTACTTTTGGAAGCCCGTAAAACTGTGTGATGTTTGGATCACGAGCCTTCATTCTATCATACTCTCCCTTTGTGAGTTGACTTAATTCTTGAAGCTTCTTAAGTGTCTTATTCACTTTATTTGTCAACCCTACTGTTGGATCGTTCTCCATACGTCGATAGGTTGTTGTGTCGGCTAGGAGATGACTTGCCTTTTCAATATAATCAGTTTTGTCCATTATGATAGTCATACGTCCCTTGTCCGCAGGCAGGATTACGATGGTTTCGTCGGCCTTCAAGGATTTCAGGGCACTTCTCTTGTTGTGAAAATGAGTTGTGTTGCTTGTTGCGTGCTAGAATCGGAACCACGACATGCCTTATTTGTGTTTTGGTTTCTTCGTTAAGTCCATTGGATTCTAAGTTATTTTCGAATTCTGCTAGGAACTCCATGGTTCCAGCATCCTTGAAGTTGTAGTTAAGTCCCTTGATGAGGACCTGTCGTTCAACGTCATCGAGATTCAGATTGGACAGGTTCCTGACCCAACCATCGTTGACATCTGTGCACTTCAAGCTGGACAATTTGGTCAACTTTTCTCGTAGGGCGGCCTGCTTTTTCGCTTATGTTACCTGCAATGATTAAAATTCATATATTTCCGGTCACATGATTGACAGATGAGGACTGCTGCTACAATTAGATCTTGGGTCTCCAAGTTCTCAGCCAGGGGCTAACAGCGAGACAACGGAAGAAACCCTTTAACCGTTGCTTACTAATTTCGGTGGAGCTTTGAATTAATGTTGTGCATGTGTGGCTCTTCACTTCTCTCGTCGTTTTTAATACGCAAAACTCGAAAAATCTAAGGGTCGACGGTCATCAGTTCACAATAACTCGAAACCTAGAGCACGTAAGCTCCATCATTGAGTTCGGAACCAATTATTATAAATAGAGTATTATGCTGCTGTTGTGTGTGTGTTCGGGGACACGGAACACCTCAATTCCTAGAGTTTAGCGGATACCAGCGTCATCGAATGATCTGTCCGATCAGATCTACACGCTGCGTCATATTCTCGAACGTCATCACGTCTACTAAGAGCCAACAAGCGTGGTGATCTTGGACATTCGAGCCGTTATCTCTGGAATTATCATGACGTCTATTATAACCCTAAAACTGTATATTCACAATCACATCGAGCAGTCCGGGCTTATGGCAAGTGTTTTCGTTCGTTGTTACCAGCGAAATACGCCAACGTTGCCCTATTTCGCCATTCCTATCCATTGAAACGAGACTGAGATGATATCAGATCTGCGACGTCGAGGTTCTCTCTGGGGACAGATTCGTGTGCCTGGATTATGCTGATGATATCGCTTGGCTGGCCGTACAAAACTTGAGCCGCTTAGCGATAAAGGCATCTAGATATGGTCTGTATTTTGTCCCATCCAAGTATAAAGTTTTGTAGAACTGGCAAGTGCCTGTGTTTAAGATTGAGAGTGACAGCCTAGAGCTTCACTTACCTCGAGAGTTACTTGTGTTTGATTTCATAACCGTAGTTTAGTAGACGTGAATGCTAGCGGCTTAGTCTCACCGGGTCTAACTCGTTACTACGGCTAAACATGAGCAGAATGATCGGCGCGCAAGGTGAATTGACGTCTGATTGCATTTTATCACATTCCCGGACGTACGCAAATGCCACTTTTTCGTTAGTGGAATAATTTTTCAGTATTAGACAAGGCGTGAGGTCTTTGCAGTTGCTTTCTCTTCATTATGGTGCAATTTTGACAAAAGTATGCCCAACTCAGCATCTGAAGCATCATTTGGAACAAAAACCGAACATTGCGCAACCGTAAGAATGAGCGAAAGCGTAGCTCGCATGATCAGAGAGACATTCTTATTCAGTGGCACACGGGAACCCCTCATTTTTACGCGCGAGCCCCCCCCCCCCAGCGGATCAGCAACGGTCGCATAACACGGCAAACGACGAAGGTAACAGGAACACAGATCCAAGAAATGCTTACTCATAGGTCGTTGAAAGGTTTCGGATGTGCCGGTGCCACAGAGTCAATTGTCTATTACCCACTGTGTCTTCTTAAGGAAAATGAGGAAGCATATGGGACGACTAATGACGAATATGTCACAACAATGTAATTTTTATATGCCGCTAAATATTCGTGCTTGTCCTGATTAAATTGGGACGTAGCCTTAAAAATAACACAAGGAGTGCGCCAAAATTAACAGCTCTCATTCTTGATTTCAATGTACAAACTATATACATTCTTTATTATGTCAATCTTTCTGCGGAGGGGAAACTAAAATAACACCGTCACCGCGGATAAACAGCATCGGGATTGTTCGCTTCGTAGTCTGGAAACGAGAATTCGTGAAAATCGCATCTTGCCTACCTTATAGACTTCTTCATAAGTTTCTTCATCAATTTCCAAAGTAGTTACGGTCTCTTCAGCATTCCCAAGAATCATATTGAGGTGAGAGTCAAATGCCTTAAAAGTAGAAGGCACATTATTAGCAACTTGGAATCTGAAACTGGTTTGCAATCAGATAACAAAACAGTAAGCGCCGAACCAGCAACTAAATATGCGCGAGGAACATCAATGATGAGTAGTGTATTGTGGGAGCAAGTCGAACTATGAATATGTACAACTCTACAAACATGTTACGTATCAGCCTGACCACGTCACTCGATTAATTTTTCGTGGCTTTCTACAGCATCATCAGATGGCTACCCATAAGCACATACAGCGAGTAGGGCGTGTCGATGTAGGCGACCAAGTATATAAGCATAATAAACTAGATAACACAAGTGTTTAAGATCTAGAAGTTGCGCCACTGGAGTACCGGTATTCGTGATTCTGTACATCTACCGTGTGTGCAATACCACGCGAATATAGATGATCCGAGGCCATCAATTTCTTAATGTATCCAGAACAGAGTGCCATGTTTACGAGCCGTAAAATAACATCGACTTTACCATGAAGTTATACGCATTGCTGTTGACTGCTACAGTGATATCTCGCTGTCTGCACAGGCAAGCGAAACGTTTAAGAGACACAGGAGCTCTTCAGATACGTGCAGTGCCCTGAGTAAGTGATTAGTTGATGGAGAGAACTGTTGACGTCTCCGCCGCCACAAGCTTTATGAAAATTTTCATATTCGATGATATCGTTTTAGCCCATTTGTAGTCAATAGTATACAGAATTATCTTCATAAGCAACAGCAGTATATCGGCCATTTCATCTGATGCTTCGCTGCCATACAACCATGATGACCTATGGAATAGAGAATAATAAGAAGACCCATATAAGAAATCAGTTTAGGGTGAAGAGTTCCTTTCAGTAAACTCTCATTGGACCCAAACGTTTACATGACAGTGATTGTGCGGAAGAGAGAGAGAAGGGGGCTTACATGAAAAACTTAATGACCTTAGTAAACATTCAGGGTCAAGGCGCCTACACTTTGTGTTAGCAACATACCGGCATCGGCGAAACATCTTCCTTGCGGCTTTCATTGCCACGCGTCATAATCAGCCATTACCCCGCCAATGACTCAGCACCAAACACACTTTAAACAGGCAATCCGATTAGGGGACGGCAACAGATGCGCCACTGGTGTCGGTTGCGAGCCATGTCCTGTAAAGTCCCGAGCCAAGCACAAGGCGAGTCACGTAGACTCCACCCCGGAAGGCGAAACGAACCAACGGCACCCAGTTTGGTCGTCAGTGACTTCATTTCCCGCTGTTAAGTCAAATTCTGTCTACCTCGAGTATTGCGCCACCCTACACCTGGTAGACTGAACAAGGCCCTCCTAGGTAAGCGGTGACCGGACATACGTAGCAGGTGCCAACGCAACTTATTCAGTGCTATCTGCTGGTATGAGTTAGCAAAATTATCACTAACTAATACTCGCCTACGCACATCAGACCGAAGGGGCCAAGTCTCACTCCCACAGGGCAGGACGGCCCTCACTGTGGCCTTGTATACGCGGTCTTTCAGACGGAGAGAAACTCCCTTCTGTCGCCAAAAATGCCGCAGGTTCAAGAAGGCAGCTCTGCTCTTTGCAATGCGTGAACTGACTTCAGTTTCTATGCGCCCGCCGCTGCTGATGCAGCTGCCAAGCTAAGTGAATTGGCCAACCGCCTCAAGTTCCTCGTTATCAAGGGCAAGGGGTCATAAAGTGGCTGGTGGTCTTGCAGCAACGATTTGAAGGTGCGAAGTGCATACCAAATAATGGGTTATTCAGGGTTGATTGTGCCGCCGCAACACCGTCGAAAAGCAAGATATTATCGTCCGCATAAACAATATCGACTAACCTTTCACCAGGCAGCACTTCAACGCCTACATCGTGAGATTCCCCAAGGGAACACTCCATGCTAGAATCCACGACGAAATTGAACAAAAATGGGGAAATCGGACAACCTTGACGAACGCCATTTCTGGTCAGAAAGCTATCCGACAGCTCACACAGCCTGTAGTGTTCGAGTATAGAGCACGTAGGATGTTCACATATTTCGTGGGAACACCTTTCTGCGCACGTATTTCGAACAGAATAGATCGATCAACTGAATCGAACGCACTCTTGAAATCGAGGAACACAGCTATTGTCGATCTGCGTGGCGCTGCTCTAGTACATGTATATAGTCTATATAGGCATGTCCTGGGCGGGAACCTATTTGCTCTTCCCGTTACACGGTGAGACGACGAAAACGAATCCAGGCCAGTAATCTTTTCACAACTGGGGTTAAGCTAATACCCCTGTGGTTAGAACAGTCTGTGCGACTGCCTATAACCGATTCACTCCAGTTAGCTGGGACACTTCCTTCCAGATACTTCTGAATAGGGAGGTCAGCGTTTTGCAGCGGACCTTATCTCTATTCTTGAATAGTGTAGGTGGGAGGGAATCCATGCCAGCGGCACGAAAACGATCGAGGGCTGTGATCGCGTTTCGGACCTCGACCTCCGACGGAGGCTCTAAAATAACCGTCTATGGCTCGTCCTGCATCACCTGAGAAGGAAGAAGTCTGGGAGCAGGGGGCCAGCTGAAATGATCTTGAAAGTGTTCCGCCCAACGAACCATAAGGCGTTCCTTATTGTGTATCAGTTCACCCGCGTTGTCTCTGATTGTCTCATTGACGCCTGGTTTCTTGGGACCAGTGGTGCGGATCAGCTGGAAGAGCTTGCGACATTTGCCTACTGCTCCTGCCTCCTCCATTTCTTTAGCCCGACTAGCCCACCAGGCTTCCTTGTCAGCATGCAGACTCCACTTTAGTTTGCACCTAATAGCCCGTCAGGTCACATTGTGCTCAGTGCCAGCCAGGAGGTTTCTTCTGGATTCCAACAGGAACACCGACCTCTCCGATATCCAGTGACTGGGGCGGTGCATGGCGGCCGAGATCCTATTCCACTGAAGCTCAGTGTCATTAGCACAAGACAGCGAAAGTGCGGTATGCAATGCGTCTTGATAAGCTTGCCTGACCGAGGACAGACAACTTCTGAGTTGCCTCGGTGAAGTCGATGGAGAAACGAAGCATACTAAAGCATGATCAGAGTCCACACAGGTATTCCAGTAGGAGCGGCAATCCAGGATGGAACCACGCCACCCGTAACTTATGGCAATGTGGTCAACTTGGGTCCATCGCTGGCCAGCTACAGGAGGACGCCAAGTGGCACTTCGGCGCCCACTGTGTCTAAAAGCAGTGCTCCGTACACAGTTGCAGCAGACGCTCACCGCTCTCAGTCCGTTTGGAGTTAAGCCCACAATTACCACCCAGCTGAGCTTCTGAAGAGCTCAGACGCCCTACGTGTGCGTTCATATCCCCTACAAGTACTATAATATATGAACTTGTAGCACTGCGTAGTAGCGCGTTCAGTTCGTGATAGAATGTGTCCTTGACAGCATTAGAACTGCATTCGGTGGGAGCATAAACGGAAATCACAAACAGCGTTTTGTACTACTTCGTAAGTCAACCTTAGCTGATGTCATCAAACGGGCTGCACATAAAAGACTGTTCACCGGAATCCAATCCAATCAACCTTGGAGCTTAGAAAGATACACCAGCTTGACCCGTGAGTGTTGCATCGGCGTCTCCGGATGCGTGCAACCAATAACGAGAGGATAAACCGGGTGCAGTTATTTCAACAACCCATTAGGGTCATTGATCCGAGTTTCGGACGCACAACACACATCAATACCCAGTGGGTCCAAGGTGCGTGCAAGTGCAGCCTGTTGACCTATTTTTCTTGGAGTGCGAGCGTTGGACGCCGCCATGGAAACGGGACAGCTTGGCCATATAAGAGACTGTTGCCGATAAGCGTCCAGTGTGTGTTGTTGGAAGGAGGTTGAAGATTATTCTACTTCAGTGGCACTTCGGTTGCTGTCAATTAAGCTGGGAACTATGGAAGGAAGGTTAGTAATGGAGGCCGGGATGGGAGTAAGAGAAAAAGGTGGAAAAGAAAGAAGGGAGGCGCCAGCAGTAGCATTTTTTCGCTTATCCACCCTGCTGTATGCAGCAGATAAGGCGACCCTTGATAATCTGCGCGACGGCCGATGCAGGATGAAGTTTATGTTTGAAGAAAAAGTCATGGTTGTATGTGGGCTGAGATACTACCAGGGCGCCCAGACCTAGACAGGAGGACCATTAGGGTTTTCGACCAAAGATTTTGGCTCAAAAGCTTGTCCGCAAGGCGGCGGGGAGGTGGCAGTGACTTAGTTTTACAGAAATGGACGCCATCCCATTTCAAACCCCCAACCTGGAGGACCAGGAGACTGAGTTTGTCTGACATCCCATTGACTAATTTGGTAAGAGTAGCTCTCAAGGTGCCCGGAGGCACCACCCAGTATAGCTCAATGGGTCAAGGAGGTACGCAAACCGTCGCACCACGTTAAGGTCCAGTCTCGTTGCGACGGATAGTGTACATGAAGCTTATTTTGATTTGGCTTGACTTAAACAGGCTGGCTTCCGTCCTGGTCCTGGATCAAATATTCACGCTCCGCCAAAACCGCCATCTCTATCAGAGACCTACCATCATTGCAATCTTAGATACCCGCGCTGCATTCGACTCGGTTGGTCGACCTGCGCCATGACGTGGCTTGCTAAGGAACGGAGTCGCGAAAATGTATATTGCGATCCTGTGCGCACTCTAACTCCATGTCTCCGGCAGAGGGAACGTCTTTGGCAAGCTCCCTTCATCATTCGTTGTCAATAGCGGTGTACGACAGGGCTGCCTAATGCCCCCCGTTCCTCTTCAATTTTGCGACTAAAGACGTCGTGTCAAGAGCTCTGGAAGGTTACCAATATTTTGGCCTGGAGCTACTACGGCGTAAGCGACTGATCTAGATTATGCCGACACCGCATTACTTTGTGACGACTCGCAGAATATGCAAAACATTCTAAACCGTTTAGCGATTGAGGCATCTAGGTACGAAATGTGCTTTGCTCCACCCAAGTATAAAGTGCTGCTCCAGGATTGGCATTCGCCCGTTACCATGCTTGTATGTACACAGCTTGAACACGCGGGTAGCTTTGTCTACCTGGGAAGCTGCTTGTCTACTGGTCGTACTATTGAAAAGAAAGTCTCTGCATCGGCAAAGGTCAGTGGTCGTTTGCCAACCTGAAGCACTTGTAGCGTCATCGGTATGTCTTCCTCTTGGTAAAGGGTCATGTTTCCCGTGACGAAGCTGTACGCTATCGGGTTGCGGATTGGGGAATGCCACCGTTCTGACCGAGTTTCCATATAGGGACGTCGTGGCCAGTTCGTGTGGATGACACGCGTCGGCTCTCGGTATATATATCTAACACTTGTTCACTAAACATTTGGCAGTGTCACAACCCATAACAATGACAAAAAGGGGAGAGAGTCAGAAGAGTGGATGCAAATTTCTATGTGCTGTGTGGGCAGCGAGCTTCCCGGTTGCCCAGGCCGAGGAAGAGGGTGGACTTAGGGGTCACACCCCGAGTCTTTGGTCTTAAAGACCTGACCCGCAAGGCAGCGGGGCGATTCACGAAGACCGTTGACAGCCAGGTGGCTCATTCGTCTTCTGTGTGTTCGGAAGCAGTCCACAGAGAAGCCGGTGTCCAGCAAGGTTGTTCATCCGCCCTCCGTTAGACACTCACCTCCAGTTACAGGGGTGAGTGGTCAGTGATTCTATAGCCGGCCACATTGAGGAGCATTGTTCGCATGTGATGACAAGCACGCATCTGCAACGGTGAAAAGAGACGTCGTGTTTTACGAATGTGAATATGCCCTAGAACAAGGTGGTTTTACTGTGTCAGTTAGGATGGCTTGATTGTAGCATAATACAAATTTTACATAATAATTTTTTGTTGCCTAGTAGCTAGCTGGTAGCTTTCCGGAACGACGCCCATCCGTTGCTGGCAGCTCAGCTGGCATGCAACTGATGCATTTATTTCCCTTTTCTAAGGTGTTTTACACCTCTAGCTAACTTGTGTAATGATGATGATGACTCTGCTATGTCAGCTGAGCGTTGGCCGCATTGCGCATTCAGTGTGATTGTGTACGCGGAAGATCAGGGCGCTTTGGAGAAGTCTTGCAAACGATTATCTATGCAATACTGTAGCCGAAAAGCTAGCGTCAAGTAGCTGTCCTGATGGTTCTACTTTGAACCGGTTCGTATATGGAACCGTTAATGCTGTCTGTCTCTTTCAGCATACGCTCGCAGGGCACCAGAAAGGAGCCTGTGCGGTGATCAAAAACGTGCTAACCATGGACGGTGGGGATATGTAAACCGCACATGAACCTGAGGTACTGCTTCAACGTTTGTTGGTTATTTCTCGTCGTCTGCGCTGCTGTGTTTGATCCAACTCACACCTACCTTTTTTGGGACCACGCAGTTCTTGGTTTGTTCCAGTCCACGCTAATTCTGCTGACTCCCAGACTCAAGCGATAAGTTCACGTGAGCTGCGGTTCACTGGTCTCTTGTTCGGTAGACCCGCGTCCGTCCCGTTCACTCGAACTAGTAGCCACCATGATTGCGGGTACGAGTAGTCGGTCAGACTATGAGCTCTGTGGAGTGTTCGTTAGCTGGATGACGGTCTGACGCATAGCCCACTTAAAGCTTGTCATGACGTTACCCTTTGCTATTCTGTGTGAAAACTACAACTGCCTGTGATCCTGTGGTGTGGTCGCCCCGATTTTTACTTCAGAATAATAAAAGCAAGCTTCGACATATGGATGCATGTTAGCGAATTGCCAGGAAAAGTGATTAGGTATAGTCGTCGTGGTACTGGTTATCGATGACGATGACCGCAGCAACGTGAATCAGAGCAACTAGATTGAACACACCTCGGAACACAGATGATGGTGGACTATATTACGGGAAAACAAAATCAGCTCTAAGCAGCATGAAAGAGAACAAGGAGCTAAAACATGAACAGATCGGGGGGGCTACATGGTTGGCGGCATCCGGTTTCGGATTTGCCTGTCACTGTGGCCAGTCACAGGACGCCTGCACCTACAGAGGGACCACGGGTGGCTTGCGCTGCACCACCCACAGCTCCAACCACACACCCCATACCCAGTGTAAACCCGAAGGAATAAGACCGGGAGGTATGTGGATGGGAGCCACGTTTCATCAACGGAGCCGGCCCACACTCCTTCACAGGCAAACACAAGCACGCTGTATTTGGGAAATCAAGCGCACACAAGGCGGTGGCTGGACCGTAATCCGCTCCACACTGAGTGCATGGAACCACTCTTCGAGCCTAGCACGGCCACAAGGACCGTGCACCCCGTCCCCTCCAGCAACGACCAACTGTCTCCTGGAGCCAGTATGGACGAGGTAGTGGGTAATAGACAGGTAGGCACCTTGTCAAGGTGCACATCAAGCGCAGCCACATCGGGGATATCAAGCAACAGCCAATCACCTGGAACGACAAGATGAAGAATAACCTACATGCAGAGTTCCACGTAGTTCTCGATTGTGTTTCATCTTTACGTATATTTTCTCATCAAGGCTGAGTCTTATGAGATCTAGAGGTTCTTCAACTAGCACCGGCTGATCGACCTAAAAAAGCGTGCGGTTAAATTTTAACGTGAAAACGAGCGCACCAGTGTATCATCTTTGTCTTCTTTCTCCATTAATCCAGGTTAATGAATATGGAGGCTCAGGAGAGCAGCTGTTCGAAAGTGGAAAACAAGTTAACGTACAGCGAAATGGATTCAGTGACTAAGTTATGAGCTGAAAAATATATGATAATGGTTATGCCAATCCGGGAGGCAAAAAGTGTAACACGACAGCAAGAGGATGGGAGAAAAATCAGCTCACTATGGACACAACAGACAGACACACAGTGATGTGATAAAATTAGGGGAGCGGGTAAAGGCCATATTATGTAACCCAGCTAACAAGGGATAAGAAGCATAAAGTGCAGTTAAATAAAAGCGGTTACTCTATAGTTGAGACGCCTAAACTGAAGACCTACACGGTGGAAGTTAAACGAGTATTGGTCTTGAAACATGAAACTGCTGTGGTTGAGAAAGATCTGTCTGCCTAAACACGAAGTGTTTATGCTGCAACAAATACCAAGCGAAGATGGCGAATTAATCCATTCGGAGGTCCTAGAACAGATCGCTAACCGTCTGCTGGTCATGTGAAAAAGGAACTTTGTAGGATTCTGTCTATTTATTTGGCACGTATGTCGAAGATACCCCTAAAAGCATGAGGAAGAATTTTGCAGGTAATTCTGACCAGTAACCAGAAAGAAGTCCAGTTTGAAGGAAGCAGATAAGACTGCAGTATGGCCTTTGTTAGTAGTGAATGCGTTCGCAGTGAGTTGAGATCCTGCCGATGGTTCATCGACACGAAAAGGTGCCTAGCGAGGCAGATATATTCCACCCGGTGATTTTCTCAGACAATTACGTTTCAGAGAAAATAATTATATCTGAACGAGATTCGTCTTGTTTCTTGAATTATGCATGATGCTAGGTACTACATGAACGACCTCAGCACGATCAATTTTGGATCATGCGCAAGCAGAGTATGTCCTGGCAGGTCAGAATTGGGCCGCTGGCTGGTCACCTGAAAATCAACTAGTTGGAGACTGTTCGCCAGCCACATACTGGGCTCTGAGGTCGCTAATGCCTTTCTTGAACTTTAATTTATCCGTTAACGGAAGACTAGGATGCACACTAACTTTACTGCCTTTGAGATGGAATGCGAATTGCATGCGCTCGTTGGGAAGGAGGGCGGTGTACCAAGTGAAGTTTCTGAAAAAGTATTCTACCATCCGTGTAAGAATCGCCCCGACTGGGTGCATGTACCACACGTGCTCTTTCGCCCACACCGCTTGACCTCTTCCTTTCGATCGGTGTGGCCGGAAGTGAAGGCTACTCACTTTTCCCTGGGGGAGTTGTAGAAATAGACGGTGCCTCGTACTCAAGCTGTTGTGCCCTACCGATTTGCGCACCTCCAGGTTTGGAGAGTGAGTGGTTGCAAGTTTTTCTTGCCCTTACACACTTATTTTTCTGGCACAGGGGCCAGTGACTCGCCATGAATTTGAGCAGAGTCAAAAATACTATCCCAACCTTCTGCGTCAGTTAACTCCAATGCGCCTGTTATGGTGGGCGAATCTGTGTATGGGTGACAGACATCACCAATACACGTTAGCTGAGGATGAGAAACACATTTCAACTAGTGCCGCAGTACAAAAAAGATACGATGTTAAACATTACAGACTATAAAAACTGAAAAACAAGTAATGTAATGCTAAATATCATATGAAGCATTGGGTATCAGATCGTTGGAGGAAAAAGCTAGAGGGAAAGGGAAGGGACGAAGAAACTTATAACACAAATGACATGGAGGTCGGCTCTTGGCCATGTCAACTAGTGTATCCAACCAGGCGCGTTCATCACCCTTCGGAACCGAGTCAGGCAGTCGGGTGACATCAACAGACACCCACTTCGAAGTGACAGTTTTCATTCCTCTTGACCTCTTCTTTCGTTCATCCACACCCTCAGCGCGCAAACAACGCACGACGCGGGAGTCGGTGTGCTGGCATGCGTAGCATGTGGCCCAGTAATCGGATTCTGGTGAGTAACATAGCAGTGCTGCGCGGTTAACTCGCTCTTCCTTTACCAAATACGAGACGTCGAACACGCTCATCGCTCACGCGCCAGACATGAACTAAGCTACGAAGGCAGCGAAGGTCGAATGTAACAAGCCACTTTGTCTGTCGACCTGACGGGCCAAGTTTCAAAACCGTATAGGAGGGTTGGATGGACGGCTGCATTGTAAACTCTATTCTTCAGAGCTAGAGTAACGTCGCGCCGGCGCCATAGGTGGCGGAGATTGGCAAAAGCGCTTCGAGCTTCTGATCGGGTGACAGACACCAGCCTGCGGACCAACGGAAGTGGTGCGATCTGCTGGAGCGTCCTTACTTGCAACACTAATGAATTCACTAAATCCACTTTGGTGCTGAACGAAGCAAACGCGGCTAACGCCTGCTTAACATTCGCGAACCCGAATGCCAGTGCTATAAATTCAGCATGAGTTCCAAGTGCAACAGTCAGCGTAACTGAAAACCAAAACTTCAGTGGACGACAGTAGATATTGGTTTGTGATACCAGTGGTTGCAAATGTCACACTACGTACCACTAGATGAAACCACAACCGGCTTAGAATAGCTCGTGTTTCTTCCAGCGTCACCAGACGCAAAAGACGATAGTCCCAAAAGTACATCCGCGGCAGTGTTTGGCGAGACAGATACAGTAAAACGGAAAACAGTAAACATGACTGTTAGGAGGTCAAAGAAAGCAAATATCCGCACACGGTGCTATAACGAAGGGCTAGGCACACGGCACGGATAGGCCTGTGATGAGTCACGCGAGAACCTTACGAAACTGGGTGCTCACGACCAGGCTTACGACTGGACATGCGAACAGCTGACCAAAGATGGCACGCAACGACGATATGAGCGACTGGCAAAATCCGGTGCACATAGACAGTGCAGACAACACTGTGTCTGGACGCAAGCGAATGAGCAAATATGGTGCACAATAGCAAATCAGCCGGGTGGATGTGTTTACAACGGATGAAGCCAAATTACAGGCATTTAGAGAAAAGCGATACTCATATTTGAACGAATATTATACCCATAAATACAACGGTTATTTAACGTAGAATACACGTCATGAGTCTTGACTTTTGATTTGTCCATTAGATTGCAACGCCAGATAGAGGAAACCGAAGGTTAGTAGTATGACAAGAACCGTTGAACGAATAAAGCAGTAAAACGAGCAGAAAAAGGAAAAACAGAGTGCAAAACGGGACTAAAATTCGGAAGCGTCGGAAAATTTTTCAACAGACGTCAACGGAACGCCTGGTCTATTAACACACCAATCGACTTAAGTTGTATTGCATATAAAAATGATTTGATAACAGTCAAATTTTGTTGTATTTGTTTATTCAGTTATTGTATTCCAACGTTACCACAGCTAAAAACGGGAAAAAATTGCGCGTTCACAAAGTTGTAGTCGCGTCAGGGGAGAAAATAACACAAGTAGAATAAAACCTCTAAATAAGTTATCAAATATTAAAATGTACTGCTGACAAAACTGAACACAAATCTGAAAATCGTTTATTTATTATCGCAAATTCAAAGGGGACAGGAATGATTGGAGAATCCCGTGGTCATCTTCAATGCGCCGTTGATCAACGATAGAGTTCGGTAGTACGACTGTCCGTTTATAGGAGCCAAATCAGCATGCGCGGGTCATGCTGTGGTCAACTGATCAAAATGCACGTGTCCTGTGTTACGGAGTGAAAATTGTTTTGGATGATAGACCGATTCACACACTTCGCACTAGCTGTAAGTGCTCCAAACAAAATGTCGGACTTCCAAGCAGATTTAATGCGGGAAAAAACCGACGGCAGACAGCTGGAAGTATAATTTGTGGAGTTCAAAAGTGCATTGACTGAAAATAAAAAGATAACTATCTGTAGCGCAGTATTACAGTGAATAAATCAATAGAAAGCGAAAAGGAAGCAGTCTTAAAGGAATAAGGTATCAGCAGTACGCCGGTACGTAGTGCCGACGCTTCGCTGCCGCATAACCAACATCGGTCGCACGTGGGCTAAGGATACTGCGAGGGTCACCCTGGCCCTACGCAGGCTCGAACCTGCGCCGCAAGATTACGAGACAAGCTGGTTACATATAGACTACGGGCCGGCTTTAAATGAATGAAGGCTGATCGTTTTGAGTGACTCCTTTTTCGAGACCTTTTTATGAGGGGTAAGACAATTCACAATACTTTTTCGTCAGCGCAGTATTTAAAGGAATGAAAGCTGCGCTAACGAAAAGTATTGTGCATTGTCTTGCCCCTCATAAAAAGGTCTCGAAAAACGTGTCACTCAAAGAGATCAGCTAACACACCACCTAATCTTTTTAAGATGGACTACCTGTAGTTCCGCTTCCTTGAGTTCAGCTGCAGGGGCTTCACTGGACGTCGGACTCCATCTGTCCATCGACGAGGGTAAAGACTGACATCGAGCTTACCCTGCGATGGAGTGGGATTCGTGGTGCTCGTGGATGAAGTGACAAAAGTGTCCAGTAGTATGTCTAGCGGTTGTACGCTATCGGGCGCGTCCACAGCTTGCGGATTGGGGAATGCCTCCCTTGTGGAGGTAACTGCAAACAAGTCTCGTTTGCTTCGCACGCAGGATGAATAAACAGTCGCGGAAAGTCAGCTGCAGCGTCCCTGAGCTTGGGGAGTTCCGGGCTGGTCACTTAGTTCTTCGTCAAAGTCAATGTGACCGGCTATAAAGTCATTGACCACCCGCTTCTGTAACCAGAAGTGACTACTTAACGGAGGGCGAATTAACAACCTTGTTGGTCACCGGCTCTGTGGACTGCTACCAAACACCCCGGCTGTCAACGGCCTTCGTGAATCGCCCTGCTCTCTTGCCGGTTAGGTTCGGGGTGGGGTCCCTTAATCAAACCCTCTTCCTCAGACTGGGCAACCGGGAACGTCTCTGCTTACACAACACATAAACCTTCTAAACCGTAACCCTTCCACTGACTACATGTTTTCCCCTTTTTGTTGTTGTTAACTGTGTTGTGGCATTACCAATTAGTTATTTGTCAAGTGTTGAATATTAGCGGAAGTGGTCGATAATTGATGTCGTTCATTGAGTCCGCGTGCCTTAGACGTAGCTGGTTGCGGTGCCGCCTTCAAGTTT